GTTAATATGGGGACTTCTGGAAATGCCAACTCGCGGTTGCAAGGTGAGTCTTATATCCCTGCCTATGCTGTCCATTTGACGTTGCAACTCTACAACAGGTTTTCGAGTAGCGCAAGTGCGCGTAGTCTTCGCTTTACCGCCTCGCGCCGTCGCGACCTTATTCAAGCGACCACCGCCGGATCACCTGGCATACGTCGAATGGTTCTCGGCTTTCACTGCGGAACCAGACCGTAACTCGGGGATGTACAGGGTTGTCCGCTCAATTCAGAATGGGGAACGCTTGGCGAGTATTATACCAGTTTCTCAGATTGAACGTAGTGTACATCTCTTGCCTAAGTTTGGTCCTGTCGTCCCTCGGGACTGGACAAGCAGCACTGTCTTAGATTTGGCGGCAGCATTCTTTGTAAACCCATTCCTAGACCGGCACACGTTTGCTACATTTGTCTAAACAACCCTGCATTCATGTATGTCGTTTGATCAACATAGGACCTTTTTGACTATGTGCTAAAATCGGACAGATCAATATAATGACATCCCGCATGCGCTTGGGTTGACTACAGGGGGTGACGTGTTCGAAAATAAAGCTACATACGGACTCGAACATATGACCCCTGCAAGTAACCAGGACCGTGCAAACACCCGCTATACCACAACAAACTCTCGTTCAAACTATAGCTAATCACAGACAATATGAACACCGTCCGAATAATTTTGCAACATTATGCCGCGTCATCACCAGTTATCGGGCTAAGCTACGTTTTGTCTGATCAAGCATAATTTATATCTAATTAGCTACGGAGGGTTTTCCTGATGTTAGCGTCAAACGGCTGCATCAGCGCCGGTCTGGTCAGTAGCGCTCTTGCTCTATGTAGTGGAGGCACGCAAATCGAGCAAAAGAGGGGTGAACGCATGCGTACGCTCTTCAACTATCTCGAGATTCTTAGTCTCTGACGACTTTCATGCAAATTAGCTGTCCATATCGTATGTAGGCGTAGGACTGGCTGCGTTATCTACTGACTGATAGAACTTGAAGTCCTCGCCACGCGTAAATGTGTAAGCAGATCGCATAGTCATAAATTCAAAACAGTCGCCGCCTACTACTGAAAAGTTGCATCATCTCTTCGCTCCGAAATCGCTCACATGAGCGTTCAAATCGGTAAATGGTACATTATAGACGGTGAGTGTAGCCCTAGTAGTCCCTCGGATTTGGGTCTAGCCAATTGTGGAGAGTCATTGCCTTGAAGTCCTTGGCTGACTCGTATACGTCCTCCTCGAATGGATATCGGTGTGTCAGAGCGAACGTTGTGTCCACCTCCAGCAAGGATGGACCGATCCTCCATTGATTGTCTTGGTGCACGGTGCTATTGTACAGTGCAATCCACTCGGAACAGGTCCAGCAGACTCCGCCGCTACAGCCTACGAGTCTGCTTTGTCCTGACTCCGCATTGGTCCCTGCTTTAAGAATCAAACGAATAGCAGGGTGAGTGGACACCGTCACGGTGTCCTTGTACTGCAGGCATAACCTGTTGAAGGCCGAATCTGATACCGACATTACGGTACGTCTCCCCCAGTCTGAGACTGCTTTGATGACCTGAAGAGCAGACCGGCGCATGGCGATGGGTTGATCATTGACAATCCCCTCAACATCGTCGGGGCACCACTCATAGGTGATATTCCTTCTCGTCAGCTTTACAAGCGTACGCAGACGCTCCAGGCATCCCCAATATCTTCCCAGCATCGCAATTGTATACCTGCACCTCCCAACGAAATGCACAGATGGTGGCCGAGTGTTACGATCAACCAAGATGCGACCAAATATGGGCGCCTTCGCGAGTTGGTATGCCAAGAATAGCACCCCGTTGACGAGACTTGCATCATGTGCGGGGAATGCTGGGTCACTGGCAGACCGATGCACCGCCGCGGCACGTTCCTGAAGGCGCTTGAAAAGGAACGAGAGAGCCTCCAGCACCGACGTTCCTCGGAGCTCAGGTAGCTTATCTGCGAGAAATTTGAAACCCGGTATTTCTTCGTCATGACGTGCCGAGTCGTCGTTGGCAACACAACGTATCAAGTCCGCGCGGAGGAACTGCCCGATGGACTCGGCCACTTGCCCAGCCAGGCTCGTGATGCGAGGCATGGCATAACTCCTCATGATGTCCAGCATGTGCAATGCAAAGTCTCCTTCCTGCTGCAGCAGAGCTTTGAAAAACCGCTCAGCGGCTTCTCTGTCGTCCGAGGAAGGCGATCCATTAACAGCCAGAGTAAAATGCACCGCGTCATTCCTCTCTTCCATCACAACCCCCACTCTGTTGTGAACTGCAGTAGCGATAGCCATAGCTATATCATCAAGGAGATTGATCTTCTTATTTGAAGACTCGGTGTTGTCAATTCCACTCGGAAAAATGCCTATGTATGGAGGCATGAGTTGGATAAGCTGCAGCTCTTCAGTGAGTCGAGCTTGCTTGTCGTCTTGAGAAACGTGAGCGTCAGTATACCCGAAGGGCAGAGAGTTCGAGGGCCGTCCTACCGTTTGTGAGGGTCATTGTAGTGAGAGTAGGGGTCACTCGTGTAAGAGAGATGGATATCAATGAGGCGAATGAGTATGCTCTGTGAGCCAATTTTATACCGCGATGGACGCCGTTATCCTCGATCTGGCATAATGAGAAACCAGACGACGGACTCGGGCTTCAGGGACGCTAGACGAAGGGCTCGGGCTTCAAGACGGAACACATCGGTGGAGTCGGGACTACTTCGGGCCAAGTCGGAAAGTCTTCCTTTTCAATGTTGCTGGTCGATGATCGACCACGATGATACGTCGGGAAACACGGTCAGTTACAGGAGAACTGTCCTTATCCATCGGGCTGTGATCTAAGGTATTGCTGTAACGTTTTATCAGACGTGGGCGGAGTGAGTGACTATTAGAGATTGTCTTCCGCGTATCATCGCATATCACTCATCACGTCTCTTGCATTCATTGTAGGGCTAGTATATGTATGGCGCAAAAAACTGTGACCGAGGGCATGCAATTCTGGCACCGTCAGGATGCGAGGATCTTAATCTAAACTACTGACAACCGTGAACTGTCTCATGACTGTTATTCAAGGACACCTTGTTGCGGATCCAGGCATGAGGAGGTGTGGATGGCGATTGTACTCACGGAGCCGCTCCTTCTCAAATCCAGTAGTCGAATCGTCATGACAAGCACCGAAACGCCTCGGCCATTGATAACCCTCACGCGAAAGATGCACCACAAGCGGGTGTTTGTTCTGCTCCCTAGATCCGTAGATTTCTTCAGTACAAGGTTCTCAAAAGAACCTCACGCGAAAGATGCACCACAAGCGGGTGTTTGTTCTGCTCCCTAGATCCGTAGATTTCTTCAGTACAAGGTTCTCAAAAGAAAACAAATCGGGGCAGGAACCATATAATAAATGATAGGCTCCAGTCGAGCAGAACAGTTTTCTTCGTCTCGCAGTGTATCCTGCCCATTGAAATATCAGCCATTTCCCTCAGCCTCGAGCATAAAGTGGCAAACGTGGACACGCACGATGCAGCAAGCAAATGCTTCACCAGAGGAGTTGCGGGAATATGCAGGTAAGGCCACCCCCTGGAATCATATGCTTATTTGGGAGTCATCGGCCAACATATGTTTTGCTTAGAGCGTAGCAATCAGGAGAAACTCTCCATTTCGCTGAGAATGTTGGACAGGTATATGGCGTATACGCCGCGTAAGGGTGACAGGCAGGATCCGAGACCTACCCAGTCGCCCGGAGGTCTCCCACGCAGTAACCGAAGCCTGCGCTCCGACGACGAAAATGCTATAGTAGAGGTGTTAGACCAGATCACATTATTCGTGGTCACAGGACGACCAGGAGAGGTTGTGTCCGCGGTATTCACGGACTTCTCACAAGCGCAGGTACGACTCTCTGCCAATGGAGTACCTTCGTCGGCACAGCGGCAACATACAGAGGCATTCTTCACCTTGTTGCGTGCCACCAGGAGAGAAAATGTGGTGGAAAACCGCGTACGGCTACGCAAGATGATATATACATTCTGCGCTCAGACAATCAAGGTGCGAATGTGGAAGATCTGGAAGTCGTTATACGGCGACAGAGACACTATGAAGGAATTAGAACAGGCCATCGAAAACTTGGAAAAGGAAGACGAAACACCTGTTTCCGAGTCTGTGGTCCCTGGTTACCAAAACCTAGGACTGGTATACAGCAATATCAACATATCGGACCTTCTCCCATCACAGCTCGTCAGGCAGATGGTTGGAGATCTGTATACGCAGGCTGGGAAATGGAAAGAGGTCAATAATATCATCGTGCCCGACGACGATGAGATTCAGCGCACCTGTCTTCTTGCTCACATCCTTGGCGTATCCCGAGTTATGATAAGCCAGCATATCTCAATCCGGAAACTTGTGTCGCGTCTGATGAAGCTGGGAAGATTTTGGCATGGTATCCTGAGCCTTATGGACTGGGCGATACAGTGTCATGAAGAGCGGAAGAGTATCCAATACAGCTGGATTCCCGAGGGTACTCAATCACACAAGCGTATGCGCGCTTTCAAGTTAGGCACTCGGCCAGAGGTGGTCGTGGAATACCTTGCGAATTCCAGGAGTCCCAATGTCCCCTTGAACGACATTGACTGGAAAGTACTCAAGGCCATATTTCACGGCTGGAATTCAGGCGAGTTAGTACATCCAGTACTTCACTGTGAAGTAGCTATCATCATGGCATACCTTGACCACGACAAGCAGAAGATGCCCAGAATTATAACGTGCAACAAGCGAAGCTGCTTCACCTGCCAGAAATGGATAGACCTTTTCAATCAGATACGACGCACCCGATGGTCGACCCTCGGAAGCCACATGAAATACTACATGCAATGGCAGTTCCCTGGAACTGTTGTCGCCAATCCTATCTTCGATGAAGTCGACGAGGCGTTGTTGAAGTTGGTTGAAGACGAAGCATTCAACTATCTGGTCAGAGGGAAAATTACACAAGACCTTCCGGCAATGCAATCAGATGATGACGCAAGCTTGCCCAGCGGATCGCCGAAGACCGACATCGCGTTCTCGATTGCCCCCTAGGGAAACGGTTCAGGTGCGCTGGGGAGTGCTGGGAACTCCATGGTAGAACCCTGTTGGAGAGCATGTATCAATAGTAATGATGAGACGCGGTATAAACTGCTCCGCCAAGTGTATCGCATGTAATTCCAGGACATAAGTCACTTTAATCGCGAACATTCAAGTCACCAGTTTAGCGCCCTAAATTGAGGGTCAATGCCCGCTTGGCATGACCCCGGGATCCCGGCACGACGCGACCGTGCCTACCTCTCAGACGAAAATAGCCGTCTCGCTCAAGTCTGCTGCGAGCTTGTCCGGCGGCGTTGGTGTTGGAATTTCGGGGTTGTCGGTCGAGCTTGCGAGCTCGCGCGCGATAGGATGGGGCCGCCATAGGCGGCCGTAGCGGGTGAAAGTTTATGCGGAACTCGTATATAGTCGCTGTATCTACTCGTTGTACGGTACGCGACTGCTGTTCGGGCAACCGACCGCTCGGGGCAAACACGCTCGTCTTCCATTTGCTACACGGCCTGCCCAGAATCTGGTGAAAAAATCCAAGGGGCGTTCGTGCAAATGTCGGTAGTAGTGATGCCGCAGTCCGGTTCCCGAACCTCGGAGAACCGGTTCGAACCTCGGACCGGACCCAGGTTCTGGTCTGCAGTCCGGCTTTGGGGTGGACCGAACCTGAAATGAGGTCCAGGTAGAGCCACAATGCCCGAACCGTACCTAAATATGGTAATTTGAAGGGTTCGAACCGGAACCTGACCAAACCGAACACCATTTTGGGTTCTTTGAGGTTCACGGTCCGGACATTCACCCGAACTGGACCTTGGGTCCGGTCCCAGGTCTGGAAATTTGGGCAAATAACCGGACCGAGCCGGACCGTGGCATCACTAGTCGGTAGTATAATTATCAGTACTTTTGTGTAACAGTTGCGCTGATTTTGCACATGTGCCATTTGTGCAACGGTTGCAATACAGGTTGCAAAGAATTTGCGTCGTGGATTCCTTTGCGCAATATTCTGACTTAGACTTACTTGTCAGTAGAGGGCCATTGCTATGCATGGCAGGACACGAGTCCTGAGTGGTGTCTGATAAGTGTTAGCATTGGGTGTATAAATGTTCCAATTGATGTATACAGTACTCTTTCTTATGCACATATTGAAATCCCTTAGATCTGTATCTGCAATGTCCCCTTCATTCATACTTTCAAGTTGTCCCCCTGTGGCTCTGCCATCATTGTACCATAAAAGTCCCTCCCTCTGACAGATTAAAAGTTGGTCTGTATTGGTGGCTACAAAAAGACTACGAAATTGTATTTGTACCCAGCCCAAGGGACAGTAGCAGCTCCACTACTAGACACAAATAACATAGATCAAAGTGTTCCTCTGCTACCAATCAAAGATTGGCAGCTCTGTGACACAGGTCTTTTGTCCCCAGTGGAAGAGATAGTCAATAATACTGAAGGTTGGGTGCAGGTGGCAGGTGCCACCGCAGTATTCAACCCGAGAGTCGCTCGGGTGCGGGTATGGTGTGTGGATTGTCCACACCATGCCATATCGCAACCCGCAACACCAGCTATATGGGTCCGCGGTTCTCGTTGAGGGGTCCCATTTTTTTACCTGAAATGATCAACTTTAGACTTAGAAATTAACTGACCAGTCATTTAGGGAGCATATTAAGACCACTACCAGCCTTGCGAGCAACTTATGTGCAATGGATGAGGACCTGGCCCGGCTCACCTGGTAAGCCATTCTCGATGCCTATGTAGTGCTCCCAGGTGGCCTTGGGCATCAGCCAATGAGCCGCGGTCTCGACGGCAGGTTTTAGACCCGCACCTGCCGAGGGTATGGAGTATGTGGGTGCAGGTGCAGTGTCGCTCTGACCACCCACAGTGCAACCTGCACCCAACACTAATAATGCCTGCAGACTCCAGGTAACATCCTACCAAATTGTATCATAGTCCCTGCCACCCACACATAGACTCAGATTACGAGTCCTGAGTTTACGAAGGATGAGTCCTTACCTGCAAAATTGGGTGCGTGCTGAACATTGTACCCCGTGGGCATCGCAATGCTGAGAATGCGTGCGACTTTCTGGTTGTAGTCTTGACTACACTGTTTAATGTCCGCTTTAAAGTCCGCTTGTATTGGAGACTACAAAATCGGATTTGTAGTCTCTGCTTTCAATCAGACTGTGTTTTCGTCTTGAGTTGTTCATGTATTTCCGTAGTTTCTTCTATGAAGAGGTTTTTTTGGGTTATCTGTGGAATATTTTGAGCATTTTATCGTACCTCCGTCTTTTACTGCATGCTCGTTGTCGTCTGTGGCATGTTGTTACCGTGGGAATTGACTTCTGTGGCTGTTTGTAGTCGGTGGCTGAGGTGCCACGCCAGTTGGGATCTCTGGCTTCTCATTGGCTCCTGCCTACTATGACATAGCTTGACTACAGAAAGCTCATTTCTGTAGTTGAGTGATGTCATAGTTGCCCACTCGCTCATTAGTCTAGTACTTGCAGCAGTTGAAGCATGACAGAGTACAAGATTCAGAGAACAGACCATTACATCATCCAACAAAGAATACAACACCATCCAGCACCCAGACCTCCTCCTACTACCAAAACCATCCCATACCCTATCCAAGTATCCAGACTGCCCATCCCAATCCTCCCTCAGCCCAGCAGCCCATTCCAGCTTCCATGAAAATTCACAACTCTACAGCATCCCCAGAAATCAGTACATAGCTCATACAGAGAGAAGCAAGAGACTCATCCACAAAAAACATATGCCAGGCCCTGCCCTGGAATTTTAGCTGCCAGGCACAACTTGAATCACATCAAACGAGGCAGCCACAGGCGAGATAAAATTCGAAAACGCGGAGACACATCCGAGAGCATGAAATCGCGCGCACTGGTCACATGCCAAGTTTTCTGAAAACAGCAATAAAAGGAAGCACAGCCCACCAAGTTGAAATGCTTCAACTGCTGCAAGTACTAGACTAATGAGCGAGTGGGCAACTATGACATCACTCAACTACAGAAATGAGCTTTCTGTAGTCAAGCTATGTCATAGTAGGCAGGAGCCAATGAGAAGCCAGAGATCCCAACTGGTGTGGCACCTCAGCCACCGACTACAAACAGCCACAGAAGTCAATTCCCACGGTAACAACATGCCACAGACGACAACGAGCATGCAGTAAAAGACGGAGGTACGATAAAATGCTCAAAATATTCCACAGATAACCCAAAAAAACCTCTTCATAGAAGAAACTACGGAAATACATGAACAACTCAAGACGAAAACACAGTCTGATTGAAAGCAGAGACTACAAATCCGATTTTGTAGTCTCCAATACAAGCGGACTTTAAAGCGGACATTAAACAGTGTAGTCAAGACTACAACCAGAAAGTCGCACGCATTCTCAGCATTGCGATGCCCACGGGGTACAATGTTCGGCACGCACCCAATTTTGCAGGTAAGGACTCATCCTTCGTAAACTCAGGACTTGTAATCGGCACGGGGACGTGCTGCTGGTCTCGTGACATGTCGCATCGCTGCTTCGTCATGCCGATGTGCCGGAGTTCAATCTCCGCTTGTAGCAGTTGGAGTTGGACTTCAACAAATTTCTCTCTCATCCTCTCTTTCCCTTCAAACACCACCATCTGCCTGTCCTTGCCTCAGTTCCGCTCAGCCTCTTGTAGCTATTGTCTCTACTCGACATGGTACGCATACCATATCTATAGTGATGCTTCGCTGATGCTCGATTTGCATGTGTGATACTCTTCCAGTTTCTGAACATACTGATGATGCAGGAGTTATATAGGCCGAGAGTGTGCGGCATATGGTATGGGATGGTGTGATTGATGTTATCAGTCCCATGCAGATCATGTGACTCTATTTGTGCGACATTTGCGCTATCCCGCGGCAAGAAACTCACGCAAATATTCGGTCTGATTCATTCGCGAGGGCGATTTCTTGCTCCTGTTTGGCAATCTCAGCGCAAACGTTTGATTCCGGATTTTGACCCAACATTTGTACAAATACTGCCGGGCTGTGTAGGATTATTTCAATAGTTCGTCAGCGTGGTTCACGCTCATCATGTCGGGTCTCTGAGGAGCCCTAACCTTAAGAGGTCATCTTCTGCATTTCTTAGAATCTGCTCGGCGAGGCTCTTATCTTTGTACTCGCTCCTTAGATAGATGTGTCTGTAGGTAATTGGTGGGCAAAAGCCGTGCTCGAGCTTCCTGGCCCAAAACCGTTCGCCTACAAAGCGGGGGAGGACGCAAATGAGCAACGAATCCCAGATGCTAGGAGTCCGAAACGGCGATGTGTCGCGCGAATGTGGAACACCCGAGTTGTAGGAGGCGGAGAGGAACTCATGGTCATCTAACTGGCGACATGTAGCATATATGAAGCTTTCATGCACATCCGTGACAGCGAGCATGTAAGGTGCCATGATTTGGGTGTGCTTCCGCAGGTACAGCACAAATGCCTCACTTGCCCAGCATCCCTTCACCTTCATGACGTCAAAGGGCACTCCGCGGAGGAGGTATTCGAATGTGGCACCGATCCGTATGCCGTGGCCTTGCAAGGGATCAAGGCCTGTGCTGCGAGCTGCTGATCTGTGGCGCGCTGTGCACATTCCCACCCTTATTTATAGCTGTAATGTAGTCGCACTGGGCCCCACAAATATATTCCGATTTTTCGATATTGTTCCGCATTTTTCTGGTGCCTGCAGTGCCAGGTATACCCAGCCAGCCATTATTGGCAACTGCTCAGATCAAATCCCGATCTGGGTCTCGATGCCGGGATGCCGGGGCTGTCATATTCAAGCTCAGCTGGCATCCCGGTGCAGCTCTGGGACAAAGGGCTCGGGGTTGAGAAACATTGCTGAAGCATAGCAGATACATTGATACATTCGGTTATTGGTTACTCCTCGTCCTTCTCTTCGATGTCTCATGTAATGTATCACCAGACACTCACATGAAGCATGCAGTACGAGGTGAGGTGAGCTGGTAGGTGAGCCCTGTCGGAGCTGTGTAGGGTCCATTCATTATTTTCCTATATTTAGAATATAATATCAAAAATATATTCCATTTTTTGATTCATTATTCTATGAACACTGTGACAAAAGATACAAAAGTGAAAGGATACAAATGCATCCCATACAAGCGGTAACAAGCCTGTACATTGAGAACCTGTGAGCCTGTCAAAAAATAGACTGACAATGATTTCTTGTACATTGCCAGTCAGTGTATGGCTACATTACTCATTTGTGGTTCATTAAGTTACAGAAATGGATGGATCACGGTTAATCTATTAACGGAAGGCCCGGGCTCGGAGACTCAGACAAGCACATCGTCTCACTGTCTGATCTGTAGTAGCCGTCCGATTGGTGACGGTCATATTCGTCCACTATTACTGGCAGCCTTCAAGTTGCCTTGATGAGCTCAAAACTCGACTGTGCCGGGATCGACGGCGAGCATCACGGGTTTCAGGAAGGGTATGTTTCATCTCCTGATACTTTGAGATGTTTTGCTCGGAGTGCTCGGATTTTACAAGCACGCAGATTGTTACAAGGACGTCGAAAAAGATGACTGCCGGAGGACATAAAAAGCGACGTTGGCGTCCACTATCTATCTTCCTGTGGCACATACCCTGAAATATCAACAACTGGTTTACCTTGTCCGATTTCTCAATCGGGTGAGTCTATCCCGCACTAGAGAAACCTTCACCGGCGCCGCTCATGGTACAAGCAAAGAGAGACACACTATCTCTCTTGTTGAAGATGGTCGAGCTGTACAGCAGCGTAGATGGCGGGACAGCATCCAGTCGCATCAAGCGAAAAGACGATCCGCACAACCGTCGCACTGAACGTTCAACCAGCGTCGACCGCATCATGAAGTTGTTGGACGGGTTTACATTGCTGATCACCGGCGACTCAGGAGGCGCGGTGGCCGCCGCCTTCGATGACGCGTCAATGTCGCGGTTACTCCTTTGCGCCAGCAACGGGCCTTCCCCGTCCCAAGAGAAGCACGCCGAGGAGATCTTTGCCCTGCTGCGCGCCTATGCACCTGCGAACGCGGCAGAGACGCACGTACAGCTTCGTAAGATGACCTACACATACGGCGCCGCGAGCATCAAGGCGCGGATGTCGGGAATCTGGAAGTCCTTATACGGCGATCAGCATACAATGGAGGAGTTAGGGAGGGCCATTGAGATATGGGAGAAGGAGGATGACAAACCTGTCTCCGCGTCCGACTGGGTCCCTGGTTGGGACGCCCTCCGGGGGGTCTACGGGGAGGTAGCGAGCCTGCGCGCCGCGGATCTCGCCATGAGGATGCTCGACGAAACGTACACGCGGGTTGAGTGGTGCGAAGAGGCGAAGGACATCGTCCTGCCGGGCGAGGACGAACTCGAGCCCATGTGCCTCGTCGCACACGTCCTCGGCTCATCCCGCGTCCTGAGCGGGGACAATAAGTCCATCGCGCAACTCAGGAGACGCCTGCTAAAGCTAGGTATGTTCTGGCGTGGCTCGCGGGACGTCCTGGACTGGGCGAGATGCCAATCGGAGGCGGGGAGCGTTATCGGACACGGCTGGGTTCCCAACGATTCTGCATCAGAGGAACACATTCCTGCTCTCCCCGCAGGTGTTGATCCTACTATGCTCATGGATTCCCTTGCGAGACCCTGGGAAAGAGAATCCTCCGTCACCCTTGAAAGGAAGTTTGCGGCAATGTTTCCGTCCTGGAATCTGCAGTATTGAGCTATTCGCACAGTAGACCACTGTCATACTTATATAACGAGCATCCAACAGATACCAATGTAATTTGTATCCATTGAGTCGATATCCGGATAGTTCTGCGTGGCGGAGGTTTAAGGTGATTCGAGCTCGCCAGGTACTAGGTAAAACTCTCTGGGTAGGTGTTGACCCTACCGAGAATGTTGGTGGAATCCCCTGTAAGCGCCTGGGACAGAAGATCCCTGTCCCATTCGAAAGAAGGGTTGCGCGAATCTTTCCGTCCCGGAATCTAAAGGCAGTGTTGAGCTATTCACTGAGTAACGCACTGCCATACATACGAACGACACGCAATTGTAATCTGTTTCCATCAAATTTCATATCCGAATCCCACTTCGTGGCGTAGGTCCAAAGTAGTCCGAGCGAGACTCAGCGAGTCAGTATCCCGCACCTCGTGGCGTCCACCGACGCTGAGGCTGACAGCACCAATGGTAAACTTCCTCGACGATTCACAAAGCTCGAGTACCTCGCTATGCACCTGCAAGTTCGCATTTAGCTCGGACCTGAAAACGAGGTAAGAAGGCTGGTGGGCGCGTGAGAATCCGAGCCGACTCCGAGTCCAAATCCGATGTCATGAGTTTGGACTCAAAAGTGCACACGACAAAGTACCATGCGCTATGTAATTTTGATCTTCTCAAGACTGACAACAATTTTGATCTTCTCAAGACTGACAACGCCTGGTCGTAGGAATTTCCACCAAGTATTATGATGGTTAGTCTCATCCTTGTGCTGCCTATGCTCACTGCGAACCACTGGACTATAACAGACGGTACCGAAGTCCTGACACATCCGCCACTTGAAAGCATTGAGATGGGTAATACAGCAGGATGTGAAGATACCGAACTGGCGACAACCGTGTGACATGCCAATGAGTCGACCAATAGACGGCTGCAGAGCGTTCGAAGCAACAACATCCAATAGACCAATAACTGTCCTAACGACAACTTATACAAACACTACAGTACGTTTTGAGCTAATGCATGCTATCCTTTCCTCTGACGAGTGCAACTCCACTGACGGGTTACAACACAGCCAGAGCACCAACGACCGCACCAACGACCGTAGTGACAACCCCCATCCACACGCCAGCACTCGTCAATGCAGTCGCCTGCCCAGCAGCACTCGAGTTTGAAGCTGTGTTGGTGGCAGCCGTGCTGAGCGAGCTCACGCGGCTGCTGACAGATCTGGAGAGCGAGGACCCCGCGGCAGACGCCGACGACAAAGCCGAAGACAGCGCCGACGACACGCCCGAGGAGATGGACACGGAGGCGGACGAGGCGGCGGAGGAGAGCGAGGACGCGCCCGAGGCGGCCGAGGACGACGCGGGGGAGGTGGCGGTAGAAGAACCGCTCGCGGCGGAAGAATCTAAGAATAGCATGACGTCAGACCCAGACTCACTTCACGGAAGTCGGTCGGGGAGAGAAGACTCACATCCAGCGGCGGCGCACTGCGACTGCTCAAGCTGAGTGGCGGTTTGGACCTCCTGCTGCGAGCAGGACGACTGAAGGCAGGACAGCGCGGACTGCTGGAAGTTCGTGTTCGTGCAGACGCACGTCAGGTCAGTGCTGCGGTCATCGCGGTCAGCGTGTGGTGATAATCATCCCAAGACAGCTTGCCGATACTCACAAAGACGAGCAGCCGTTCTGCTGGGCAGCGGTAGTGACACAATTAATGATGCAGGACGTAAGTCCTGCAGTGGCCGACGGGGCCGCGCTGCTCTGAGCGAGGGCGCCGAGCGAGGCACTGAGGACAACAACGGCGGTCGTAAAGAACTTCATGGCGTATACAGTGGTCGTCGAGTGAGACGTCTAAGGGGCGTTATATGGGTAGGGGTGGTACGACTTCACGAAGGAAGATGCAGCATGTCCGGCGCATGACCGGGTTTATATGCAGGCGCGGGGGGACGTGGGAAGGCTGGGGGCGCCTGTCATCCGCCCGTTCGTTCCTTTGATCTGTTTCGCTTCGCAGTCAGCCCGCGTCCGAACTTGGCTCACTTGACCAGGGCCCGGTCTGCAATTGGTGCGGGTGCCAATTTAGGAAGGACGGATGACGTTTTGGGACAGCTGATCGCTGTGCCCACGTGCGTTCGCGGTGCGGAGAGGGGCCGAAATTCAATCCTGCGTGGGGGGGCGAGCCATTCCAGACACGCAGTTCCCCGTCCCTGCCTCCGGTGCTTGCCAGGGTGAAGGCTAAAACGCTTCTGAAGGCAAACTTTCAGCGGATTTGGCTGTCGAAGCTGCTCGCGATCGCTTACGTCAGGTGACGGCTCGGAGTCAGCTGGACAGCTGTCATGAGTTCATATACTCATCCTCCCGCTCTCTCGCCCTCCAATGACGATCACCCGACGTAAGTGGCCCCACTGCCTGCCCTGACTGCAGTCGTACGATTGCGCGGAGGGAGTTCCTCGCTCCGGAGTCCCAGACTTTGAGCATATAGAATGGATATGTTTTCCTCCAGAACCTGATTAGCTCTTCTTATATTACAACGGAAGAACATACGGAACCCTTCGTAGGAATAACCGCGAGTTCGTTTATGTACCGCGGGCTCTGGCCCAGGCTGGGCACCGCATGGTGATCTCATCGACTTTCACATGGAGATCCACAGCGTACCTGTACTAATAGACGTCCCTGGCGGTCACGTCAAAACAGAAAGTGATGCGTGCGTCGGGATGCGACGCGACTCTATGGGTGCGCGTCATCGGATGCACATGGCAGCCACCATGAAGGAGGCGTGCGGGGTGCGCCTCGTGTCGACGTCGGGCCAGAGAGCGTCCGGGCACCCAAAGATGCACGGCGCGAACAAACGCGCGCCCGCTGGGAGTAACGCTGGAGGGCTCGGCTTCTTCGACTGCACCTCCCAGACGCACGTCGTGGAGCCCGATACGAAGCGGAAGGCGAAATAGACGCGGCCCATATCCAACGCGCAGGATGATCCGAGGTTACCCAGCCACGCAGCCGCCCGAACAGCAAAATGTAGGTCTAGACCTACCGTAGCGAGTCTGGATCGCAACGCTGAGCATGGTGGTCGCAGCACTTGATCGACTCTGCGTTTGTTCCATCAGGTATGACGAGTACGGAAAAACGGAGGGTGATGGTGTACGACGGCCCGTCGATGAAGCTCGAGTGAAGCAGCGCAGAACAAGAATCTACGCCGCTACATGGGCACATCGAACACCTTCCTGTGGGCCTACCTGTCCTAGGTTCGTCCGGTTTACGAGTGGGCGATAACTTGGGGGCTATGCCAAGGAGGGTCGAAAAGCGTGAACATTGTGCTTGATCTCGAGTGACTGATCTGTGACTGATCGCTCACCGCAGACAGCACGTATATACGACACCGGGACCAGGGATAGTTCGCAACCTTGTTCAGCCTGGATTATCCTGTCCTTCAAACGAGACCGCACATGTAGTGTAGTGACTTGATCTCGAACATTTGGGAGTCGGAAGAGGGAGAGTAAAGGAAGAGTAAGACAGGCCAACTCGACAGAAGAGGGAACAGCCAACACGGCGATCAAAGGTCCATCACACGGCGCAAGCCCATCAAAATCAAAAGCTCCTGGGCTCACTCTGGTATATTTCCGAGGTGCACAAATTCAGGCGCGGTTGCGCATATCGAACGTACCGGTATAGACGCACCTCGCACCGTCCTTCTAATCCTACACGTCACTACTTGAGCCCTTCCTTGCTCCATTATGACCTTGTATGGCTGAAGGTATCCCTTGCACAAGCATTTCACCCTATTGTGCTCCGCTGGGTAGGGTCGTCCGCACGAATCAATGTAACGCCGACAGAGGATTATCACCATGCGTAACCACTGGCGTGCCCGACGAAGGTGAAGCGGCCCACCGGCAGAGGGGAGATGGCGTACGTTGCGAGCACAGGAGGTGTGCAACAAGGTTGGTGATACGCAGACGCAGGATGAGTGGTAAGACGAGAGCTCTGATCATGAGTCTGAGTATCCTGAGTATGCGGGACAGATCTGATTGGCTGATGGCGAGCCGAGTGGCGTGGCAACGGTTCTCGGCCTTTGCCCGTACCCAACCTGAGCTATACTTCCTCGCATCTCGAGTCTGGTTCAGAAGAGTGACCATCCCGTCCATGTCCGACGTTGGAGCGTGAGTCGGCTTGGATTTTTACGAGGTTGGGTAGCAAGTTCGTGAAGAACAGACCTACCGCGGAACCTAGGCTTCAGGCTGTCTCTTCAAGTTTGCCTTCGGAAAAATCCGACTATGTGTATGGTATCCTCGGACCAGAGTCTCTGGGGTGCTCACAATCATGCAATGCTGCGATATCTATCTTCCTGTCCAGAGGACTAGGACCGCAGCTATGGTACGGAAGTAGGGAAATACAGATGTCATGCGCTGAGTAGATGAGCTCTGACCTCCAGTCAGCCATCCCGTCTCAAACTTCAAGTACAAGTCACGACGCTGAATACTATGCAATCCTTTCCTCGGCAGCATGCCCGACTTCACCAGCCACAGGCCGTGTCAGCTTGCGAGAGTCATAGGAATCATGGCGAGTTCGTATTTGGATTCAAGTTGCAGTACCAACGTTAGCGCATCATCGGATGTAATTGGCAGTGCAAGCCCATGTACGTCCAGCGTCATGCCACGATAAGACGAACACCAATAGTGCCCAACTATACAAATGGCTCTTTCGCGGCACTGGGTGGGCCCGACGACCGAGTCGTCTGGTATAGGAAGCGTACGTATAAGCATAGAACTCATATTGACAGCCGCCACGCTCCCTACCCTACGCGAGGCCGAAATACACGACGCGAAGACCAGGGGAAGTGTATTACACATTAGTAATCGTGATCGCGAGGCCTCATCTCGTCGTTAACGGCAAGGCCCCTCATATTTTCAACTATATCGTAGACCTTGTCCTCGAATGAAAATATATGTGTCAGAGCGAATGATGGGTCGGATTCTCTCAAGGACGGGCCGAACCGCCACTCTGTCTTCTTCGCCAAGTTATATTCCTCTATCCACTCTCCGGTGGTGAGACAGATCCCATCACTGCAACCTATGAGTTGGAGATGAGACCCTCTGGTCCCAAGAATGAGCCGGAGAGCGGGGTGAGTCGAAACTAGAACCGTCTTCTTGTATTTTGGACATTCTTTCCCCAAAATCATGTCTGCCTCCTCTCTGTCATCGTCATCCATCCACTGGGGCAACCCAGATCTAATGATTTCCAGATGGGATCGACGCATAGTAACCGGGTAATCGTTGACGATCCCCGCACCAGTTTCGCAGTACCACTCCCATGATATATTCCCTCCAGCGTAGTGGACAAGTGCTTTCAGACGCTCTAGACAGCCAAAGTATCTTCCGAGCATGGATAGCCTATACCTGAACAAGCTGAGGAAACGCGTATTCCCTTTGCATTCTGGGTGGCTGGCGAGGATGGAGAAGACGGAAGCTCGAGCCAGGTAATACGCAAAGAGGATAATCGAATTAATCCACTTCGCATGCGAGGGGGAACCGCCGGCTGATTCATTTGCTGGCTCAGAAAGCTTGGCGGCGGATTCGTGGAGGTGGCTGAATACCATTGCGAGACATGTGGGCATGGAGGCACCTTCAAGACGTGCAAGCTTTGTTTTCATGAATTCGAATCCCGGCAATTGGTCTTTGTGAGGTCCCCAGCTGCAGTCCTCCAGCAAGTCTATAAATCCACCCCCGAGGAACATCTCGGAGGCGTCGGTGACTTTCTTAGCCAGGCGCTCAATGCGCGGCATGGCGTAGCTTCTTATGGTGTTCATCATGTGTACCTCAAACTGCTCCTCTGGGTGAAGCAAGGATCCAAAAAACTGCTCAGCAGCGGCTTTGTCGCGTGGCCCAGGCAGCCCGTTTACGGCCAGCGTGAAGTGTACAGCACGGTTGTCCCTTTCTTGCACTACGACAGCTACCGTCTTGCCACTCTCCCCCGTTGAGACAGCCATGGCTATGTCATCAAGGAGCTTGAGCTTCCGATCGTTGGCCGGCATAGCGGCGACACCTCTCGGCCGCGCGGGCAGCGCGATTCTAAGTCGCGGCATGATTTGAAGTATCTGTAGTTCTTCGGTAAGTCGCTGCTGCTTTTCGTCTTAAACATGACATCGTCTTTTCAGTACACTCGCAGATTGGGTAGCCATTGAACATCGTACCATTTGTGAGGCTCTCCATGGTTGAGGCTAGATAGTGCTGTGACTGGCCCGGCTTCAAAGCACAAGCCGGGCCAAACCAAGGCATATTTAGGTCAGGCCGGCCGGGTCAGGCCGCTGAAGCCGAGGCCCGTACTGTACTACCTACGCAAAACAAGGCTCTCTGGTGTTAGGACTAATATCCCATGCAAATATTGAACCACTCACAGCTTGACGAGCTTGAGTCACTTGTATAGCTTCGAGGGTCCAGCTAAAGGAAACCCCAAGCAAGTATACTTCCAGTGTGAGCCGCCGGGGGTCGAGTGAGTTAATAACAATGTGCGCGCTTTCTGCGCGTGGACGATTGTTTTGACATTGTCTTTGGTGAGTTTTCTCATTAGCACAAGACAACTTGCAGTCACCAGCATGAATCTTACCAATGGTGCGAAATCTCTAGTTCTCCGCAGCTCTCCATACACTCATACAGGCTTTCGCTCAGACCACAAGCACGCTCGACTCACTGAAGAGCTGCAGATCATCGAATTGGTTCCACCGCCTATAACCTCCTTCCCCAACGGAATCTATCACACAAAGTTCAAGGATGAGAAGCTCACTATCCTTGATGACATTGCTTCAGCTATTGCTACTGGAGAATGCAACAAGAAAGTAGGGGATGCAATGGAAGAAAGGGGTGCCAGTTCCGTCCACTTCATTTTGGTTGTTAATGGGCTGCCTTCCTCGCGCGAGGAGGCCGCCGCTGAGCGATTTTTCAAAGCTCTGTTGTATCCTGGAGACCATTTTGTGCCGCACATGCTGGAGGCAATGAGGAGTTATGCCATGCCTCGCATCGCGAGGCTGTCGGGACAAGTAGCCGAGTCTATCGAGCAGTTCCTCCAGGACGACCTCATACAAGACATCGCCGACGACGCCTGGGGTCCTCACGTACAAGAGGTACCGGGATTTCAAGCGTTTAGAAACCGTTTCCCAGAGCTTGAAATCGCATCAGTGCCGGAGGCTCTCACCATTCTTCTCGAGCGTCTTCGGGAGCGTACCTCAGAGGTGCACCAGTCTGCGGACAACCCATCATTCACCACACATGATGCAATGTTCGTCAACGGGCTTTTGGTCTTAGCACACCATCTCTCCAAGGCTCCCATATTCAATCGCCTCATCCGCCGCAGCACTCGAGCAGTCATTGTGCTTTTTGTGGGGGGGTTGAGGTATAAACTCGCAATGCTTGGGAGGTATCATGCCTGCCTTGAGCGGTTGCGTACCCTTGCGAAACGCACAGAAATGAAGATAACATATGAATGGTGCACCGATGATGTTGCGGGAATCGTCAATGATCGTCCTGTGGTCATGCATCGATCTGCTCTGGAAGTTATCAAGGCCGCCGAAGACAGGGCCACTCGTATCGCAATATCAGTATCAGATTCGACCTTTGGCAAAATATGCAGCCAGTACAAGCCTACCCTGACGGTCTCCACTCACCCCACCATCCGCCTCATTCTTAAATTGGGTTCTACCGCACAAACCAGGCTTGTAGGGTGCAGCGGCGGGGTCTGCTATGCTTGCTCAGAGTGGATCTCACGGTACAATGACGCACACCCAGGCGCCATGTGGACAGCAGGTCCTTCTCTGCAAGAAGTGGATTCAACGTGGGCTCTGACACATCGGTTTCCGTTCGAGGAGGATGTCTACCAGTCGATAAAGGAGGCGAAGGAAATAAGTCTCATCGATTGGCTCGACCCAAGTCCAATGGACTATTAGGTCCTCCACAACCTCCCTGTATACATACATTGTACCATGTGCTTAGTTAAATGCTCCTCTCAAGCAAACACCCGGTTTTGAACTAAAGAAGTGTCATAAGCGTGGACTAGCTCGTCACGATGTATTCAATGGCAGGGTCCCGGGCGTGAGCATGATCAGACACCTCAGCGAATGGGGACTGACTCGCCAGCTGTACTTGGTGCGTACTTAAGGACGTCTCTGGGGTCGTCGCCTGATACCGCGTGAGCTAAGCGTTGTAACATCCGCAGTGGCTGACGGCCCATGGAACAATCCCCTACATCGTGTCTCGATGACTCACAAAGCAAAGATCTACGGATACTTTACTCGAGTTCAGATGTATGGGAATCACTTACCTGACGCATCTTCACAGCGGAGCTTGTCGTTCTTTCGACTTATGACTATTTAGTCAGAACTATCCACATGTTCTAGGAGCGTGTCAGCGTCCGAGTCTGTTACCAATTTAGCTTTCACGTCTTTCTTTCGATGACCATGACAAGCCTAGCCAACGGTAGGGGTGCTCCCGAAGCGCATCGAAGCAAATATACTGATAAAATGCCAGGGAAAGACGAATTACAAGAACGCCTCACCGAAGAATTACAAATCCTTCATATTATACCACGACTTGCAGAATCACATCCCCCAGCAGTCGACACACCCCAGTATCGAGACCAGAAGCTTCAACTCCTTGATGACATAGCTATGGCAGTTTCGACGGGGGTGCCTGAGAAGACGGTGGCGATCACAATGGAAGAGCGGGGTAACGACTCGGATTTCGTGCACTTCGTGCTGGCCGTCAATGGACAGCCTACTTCGAGCGACGAAGCCGCTGTCGAGCGCTTCTTTGGAGCGCTTCGTGGTCCCGAAGAGCGGTTTGAGGAGCGTATGATGAATGCCATGAGGAGCTATGCAATTCCGCGGATCGCGAAGTTGGCCAAACAAGTGGCCGACGCGTCCGAGGACTTCGTTCGAGGTGACTACCTGGGCCTTATTGACGGGTACAGGTGGAGTAGGCACGAAAAGGAATTGCCAGGATTCAGACACATGAAGGAACTACATCCCGAGCTTCAAGTCGAAGGGGCCTCCGTACCCGACTGTCTCGTCACCATGTTCAAATACCTCGGCGAAGCCACTGGGAACTTCTGGCGTGCAGTGAATGACGCGGCCAGTCCTACCCCTGCATACGATGTGGGGCGGCTGAACTGGATGATAGTCGTTGCGTACTACCTCGCTCAGGTTCCGATTCTCACCCTCCTTCTCAACCACCGAGCTTGTCGAAGGCTCGTGTTCTTTCTGGGATCTTTCCGATACAGACTCGCAACGCTAGGAAGATATTGGGGCTGCCTCAGCCGCTTGAAGGCGCTTATGACGCTCTCAAACAGGAATATAACATACGAATGGTGCCGCAAGGATGCTGGAGGTGTCACCAACAATCGTCTCGTTGCTATTCGCCGATCCCACTTGGAGGTCATCACAACTGACCTTCCAGAATGGAGATTGGAAACCAGGACGGTGTTTCCAGAGTTCACTTTCGGGGGCGTACCTAGGAGGTACAAGCAAGCAATCACGGTCTCGACTCATCCCGCGATCCGTCTGATTCTTTCGGCGACGCAGGCTCAGCCGCAGCTCGTAGGCTGCAGTGAGGGGATCTGCCTCGCATCCGAGGCGTGGATTAGAGAGTACAATAAGGCGGAAAGCACGAACTGGGAATTTGGTCCATCCCTGAGAGACGCGGACCCGACGTTTGCTCTCACCCACCAATATGCGTTCGAGGGGAATGTCTATGAGATGGTGAGGAATTTGAGAGGTGTCACCGTTCAAAATTTGTTGTGGCCATCTTGAACTGCTTTCACGATAGTCGAGATGCTCCCTCGTAGTTTCATGTAATGTATAGACATACCTCGTTAAGGGTGGTAAGTACGTATCGGATATTGTATAGGTCTGTTAGTCGCGTTTCTATCCAGAGATACAGACAAACCTGAGCTTTTTTTGATACAAATGTTCGGGACAGCACTTGGGCTCGATGTCTGCCAGTGTATGAGTTCACTCCATCTGGAGGGATTCTCCTCATCTACATACGACGAAGGAGTGCGACAACAGGTGCCGGCAATCAAAGTACACAACATTACACACCGCATGTCATCTGCACCGCTGGCGGCAGGCCAAATAGAGCAGTCGCGCAGGGTGTCCGCGAAGAATAACGCCTATCCCTATCCAGAGAGCGCCCAAGCGCCCGAACCGTCCGCGCGCGCTCGACGGGGCTGCCAGGCACGACCTTGGGAACCTGTCTGGCGCCTTTCTGACAGCAAGACTGCCGGATCAAAACCCAGCTCGAAAGGTGTTTCGAGGTACATAACTGAATCACTTTCTGTCTTTGACAAAGTCATTGTCCATAAAGACCTAAGTAACCAAGAGAGAATCCGAGTCCTGAACGAATCACAGGTGTGACAGCAGCGGTGGATCCGTGGCCGTCATCATGATTGTTTATCCGTTGTGACGAGCGCGGAGCGATGGAGGAATGTGCATGTATGGTTACCAGTAAAGTAGCAGAGACGGAAATTACGAAGACGCAAGGCCAGCAGAGCGACAGCGCGAGCAAGGTCCCACCGATGTATGAGCAAGCGTTAACTTGATTCAGTGCCAAGACACTTTAAGGAGGTCGATAGAACGTGAACACTGTCTGATCTCGAGTGAGGGATCTGAGACCCATCGTTCACTGCACGCAGCACCGTATCGATATGCATACACCGGGAAGACGTACGGCTGTACATCTTCGACGACGCTTACCATTTCCCTCCGACTCCAGTCAAGACTTCAAGCGAGAGAGGTCCCTGTGCGCGAGCATTCAATCTTGTCGTGCTCCGCTGAGGTACGGTAGTCCGCCCGAATCAATGAACCCCGGTAGAGGACTATCATGATTCATGGTGCGGACAGAGTGCCGTAACCAAGGTGAAGCGAAAGTCAGGAGGTTCAAATGGTAGAAGGATGGTTCAGTCTGTTGCAAGTACAGGAAATGGGAGCAAGGATGATGAAAGGCAGACGCCGCATTGAAACAGGATGAGAGCAGAAGTAATCCTTTGCGAGTAGGACAGATCTCATTGGCTGATGGCGAGCCGCGTGGCGTGGAAACCGCTCTCGGCCATTGCTGCATTGTGAATTGACTTTCGCCTTATGATGTCGCATGTAGCCTATTTATGACGGACGACTCGCGCTCAAGGTCTGCAACGTTGTGAAGGTACATGGTTGCTAGGCGTCAACCGGAGGCAGATTGATGAAATGTCTGTCAATCGCTTTCAATTCGAGATACGTGGCTAAATATTGCGTACTGCGTCGGAAGATGATAAATATGTGACACACACACAGTCGAAGCACTTCACCCTAGAAATCACCATATCAGATCCCACACGCCGGACGACAGCCCCAGTACGGAAATTTCCAGTGACACGAACAGAACAGGACGAACAATTACGCGGGTCGCTGGGCTTGTATGGCTCGGCGCCGCACACTACCCCCGCCGGTCGTACTCGGCCCTGCGTCCCAGAAATGCTGGAAACGAACTGTGCTGGTAAGTGCACATCCCTGACCCCC